GTCTTTCTTTCATTGGTTCGCTAGGTTAAATCGCAACCAGCCACTAGCCACTTCCAGTATTGGTGAACCGGTCGGGTATTTTAAAAAAAAATTGAAAAATTTATATAAAATTTCAAAAAATAAGGGATTTTGTTTGAAATGTATTTTTAAATGGTTTTTTTTATCATTTTGGAAAAATGTTTTGGTATTTTTCTATATTTTTTTAAAAATACCACAAATCAATTCTTTAATATCTATTTTTCATTAAATTTAAACTTCATTTGGATGTTATTTGTTTCATCATTCTTTAAATATATTTTTCATATTTTGTTAGAATTTATTTTGTCTTTTTTTATATTTTTTTAACACTTTTTTTACTGCGTGGGACTTACCCGGCTAGGCTAGTTGAACCGATCAGTGTACCTGTTAGGCCGGTTGAACCACTTCCCGCCCTATGTCTGGTTAATTGTTCCGGTTCGATTTTTCCTACACTGCTCATTACACAACAGATTACAAACAATAGAAGCAATGAATTGGAGATGAGATCACACAGTAAACTAGAGGTCTTGTATATAAATATGCCCTAGTAGATAGATTAAAGATAATAATAAATGCTAGCTCATAAGGATGAGAGTTGAAATGCTCTGTCAAAATTTAAAGGAAATCTAAATCAAGTCATATGAACACAAATATATATGTAATATACATGTTTGGCCTGTACCATTTTGTAGGATATAAACACAAAACACCACCATCAGAACTCATAGGCAAATCCAAATCAAGAAAATTAAATATGATCAATGGATCATACACTTAGCGATACCTCAATCAAGTCACTAATTCCAAGTAGACATGGCAAGTGAATCTTAAACCTCGACTTATTCCAAGTAAACATTGTTGGTGTTGAGATTTGCGGGAGAATAACAAAGAATGACAATTCAGGGTTTTAGGACTAAAAAACCAAAAAAATTGAGATATAAAAGCTTACTGGTTCTGGATTACGTTACCTTTGATCTACACCAAGAAGATACCCTATGAAAATAGCCGGTAATGCGCCTGCTTCTTTATCTCTTGACCAGTTAGAAAGAAATCGCAGAGAGAGAAAGAGATAGAGCTTAGAGAGACAGAGCTTTAGCAAGAGAGAGAGAGGTGGTAGGGCTTACCAAGGAGAGGGAGAATGGTTGATATTTTGAGACGAGCACGAGAGCTTTGGAGGGATATGGCCCGTAAATAGATTATCCGCCACACCTGTAATCAATTTTTCAGCTATTCCCACCCATAACAGTTTTCACAGTTTTTGGGAAAATCATGCGTAATCTATTATCATTTTCACGCTCTTAAATATACTTAAAGCACTATAAATATCAAATTTCCACATAATATGTTTTCTTGTAATAGATTTTCAAATATCCTAATGACTAGACACTTTTCTAACTCTTCTCTTTGGACTTTTGCCATAGAAGTATTTAATGTTATCTTCCTTCCCTCTCTTATAAACAATATAGCAATGTTTAGAAAAACAGATTCGTGACTTGGATCACCCTTCTAGAAAATTGTTTCAGATCAATGTAACGACAATTTGGATCAGCGATCCGGTTGAGTGAATCAACCAATAAAATATTTTAAAAAATTAGAGAACAAAAAATAAAAAGAAATTAAAAAATAAAAGATGGGAATGATTCTGGCTAGTTATCTGACAGAACTAGAGAAGATCAACCTGCTCCCAATATTTTGAGATAACTATCAGCTAGTTTCGATCCAAATCGTTGTTTTTTTTTAAAACGGTGGTTCATTGCGGTGTTATGCTTGGAGGACTAAGTTTAAATTTAAAAAAATTTACACTCATCCATAAAGGAAACCATTAGGACGCTTTGCACATATTTGGGGCTATAATTGTTATTTTCTCATACAGACGTAACAACAAAAATCTCACCGCAACGGAATATGCATCCCATGCCACGCTTTTTTTTTTTTGTTTAGTATTGGGTTAGATTCGAACCCGTAACGCTGTAGTTCATAGCCACGTGCTCTAATCTTCTAAACTATGGGCCCTACCCCGTCTCCGCTGGTCATGTTCATGGGAGTACCCTCAAAAAGAGGAATATTTCTTCTCCTCAACCATATATATATATATATATATATATATAGTAGGTGTCGGTTATATAGACGCCGCACTACT